TCTGAATGTTCTATTTTCTTTTTTTTGAAGCGCACTCTTGTGCAGTTTTACAACTGCAGTATCTCCTCTTCCTGGGATGACAGCGTTAATTCAGTTTGAGTTTTCTAACTTCTTGCACCACTTCTGTTTCCTACAAGTTCCTTTTAAAGTTTACTTTTAGTCTCTGTCATTCACTTGACAGCTTTGCTCCAGTGTTTGCGCTGACTGGACTTTGAGCACACAGGTGACCACGCCGTGCCCCCGGCAGGGCAGTGTGCTTACTTTAGCATTTTAATGGGGAGTTTCTTTCTTTTTTTCCAAGATGGATTCTAACTCTGTCACCAGGCTGGGGTGCAGTGGTATGATCACAGCTCACTGCAGCCTCAACCTCCCCAGGCTTAGGTGATCCTCTCAGCCTCCTGAGCTGGGGCCACAGGTGCAAGCTACCACACCCAACTAATGTTTTCACTTTTTATAGACACAGGATCTACATTGCCCTTGCTTCTTTCAAATTCCTGACCTCAAGTGATCCACCCACTTCAGCCTTCTAAAGTGCTGGGATTACTTACAGGTGTGAGCCACTGCACCAGCCTGGGGCTCTTCATTTCTGAAATAACATTCCACCAATCATCCTCATTTTAACCTCCATGTTTAGAAGAACCCTGCACCAACCATTTCTGAGACTTTTAAGGAGTGTGAACTGGGATTGTTTTCTGCTTTCCCTGCTGCCAGCTCTTTGGCTTCCTTGGATCTGGGATATCAGATACCACTCCGCCATCTTCAAACTCTCCGAAATACTTGCAGTTCTCTTTATTCTCCTCTTCTCCCTGCCTTCAATGGAAATCCCACTGCTATTATTTTAGGGAGCTTTGGGGAAGGAAAAAAGTTAGATGCCAGTCTGGGAGTCCACCAAGCCAACCCCTGTCTCCTTCCAGTTCTCCAACCTCCGAGAAGATAAGAAACACCAAGAGGTGATGGGGCTCATTGAGAAGGACAACCAGCTCCTCCGACAGGTGACAGGCCTGGGTGTTGTGAAATGGTCAGCCAGGCCACTGTTCTTGCTGTAAGTCCCAACACAGCAAAGAGCAAGAAGGGGCTGGAGCATCTTCACTGCAAAGCCAGGGCCGCTTAACTTAGGTAGCATGCCACCTGACACATCTCTGGGCCCCAGGTCCACACAGAAGGCTCCTTGCAACTGCTGGGTCCAGACTGGAGTGAAGGGACCAAGCGAGTGTTGCTGGCCATCTTTTAGGAGAAAGTGGCCTCATCTTGCCCAGCACATGTACTCAGGTTGGGAGAGATGGGCCCACCTTTTTGTCCTCCCTGGCTGCCCCTAGCAAGTGTCAAAACTGGAGAGAAAGCTCACCAAGCAGGACCACGTCATCTCAGAGTTGGACTCCAAGGTCAGCCAGCTGCAGGAGCAGGTGGAACTGGACCAGAACCACCTACAGAGGTGGAAGCAGTTGCAGGAGGATCTGCAGAGCAAGAAGGAGGTGATTCAGCAGGCGGAGCAGCAGGCCCACGTGGCCCTGGAGAGCGCCCAGTCCAGGGTATGCCCCACTCCTCCTCCTGAAGGTCTGGCCCAGCAGCTGGCAGCTGAGCACCTGGGCCCCTGCCCACCGCCCACTGAGGTAGACCAGGCTCTGAGTACACTGGGGCTCAGGCCGGTTCTTCTGTGTACCCCAGCACCTGCAGAGTTGATGCTCAAGAAATGTGGGTAGAGGATGGCGTGAGGGTGCAATGGAGCTCCCCGGGAACGCTCGTCAATGGTAGTGGTGGGCGGAGCTCCGTGGGCAGGGCTGGGGGTCTTGGGTTGCATTGTGAAGGGTGTGGGTCACTGGCTGGAAAGGAGGGCACATGGTTAGGGAGGAATAGTGCTGCCCACCCATCTCTGAGCCATCACATGTTTGCCGGGCCAGACACCGTTCTAATGCCTTCTTGGTATCAAACTCATGTAGCCCCTTTAACCGAACTACAAAGTAGTCACCATGATCCTCACTTAACAGACAGGCAGGAGAGGATGAATGACCCCCTGTACCCCAGGCCTGCTTTGCGGTGGTGCTGGGATTTGGACCAGACAGTCTTAGCTGCAGGGCCCACTGGGGAGTCATATTAAATGTGAGCGAGGCCAGGGCACACCCTGCTTGTGAGGGCCCATGCCCAAAAGGAAATCAATAAAGAGCTGACTTTTTTTTTTTTGAGTCAGGGTCTTGCTCTGTCACCCAGGCTGGAGTGCAGTGGGGTAATAACAGCTCACTGCAGCCATGGCCTCCCAGGCTCAAGCTGTCATTCCACCTCAGCCTCCTGAGAAGCTGGGGCCACCTTACCCAGCTAAAATTTTAAAAACTTTTTGTAGAGATGGTCTTACTATGTTGTCCAGGCTGATCTCAAATTCCTGGGCTCCAGCGATCTGCCTGCCTCGGCCTCCCAAAGTGTTGGGAATACAGAGCCACCGTGCCTGGCCCTGACCTTGATTAAGAATCCAGGAAGGCCAACTGCCACTCACCTGCGTCCTCTTTCCTTCTTGAGCCAGCCTCCTTCTGGCTGGGTCGGACTGAGGCACCCACCCAGGTATCCCTTGATAAAACAGCTTTGAATCCAGCTGTAGTCGTAGTGAAAGCATTAGACCAGAGGTGGCCTAGATGTATCCATTTGTGCACCAGCGTGCACTGACCTGGTAGACTGGAAAGCTGTGCTGAGAAATATTCCAAAGCTAAGTCCGGATGAGCAGGAGCCAGCGCCAGGACTGACGGTGAGGCCCACGTGTATGGGGAAGTGAGCTGGACACCCCAGGTAGCTGCCAGCCTCTGCCCTGGGGAGGCACCCCCTGTACAGAGGCCCAGCCTCTCGTGACCCTCAGGACTTCAGCACCTGGCACAGTGTTTGTACAAAGGGGACACTCAGTAAATATTGGAAAGAAGGAAAGGATTCCACTCCACACAGGCCAGGGGCCCATGACATTCCTGCTGTCACATAAACCCGTCCAACTGGCAGTGTGGACATGCTTGCCACTCAGAGGCCAGGCTGAGCCTCTTGGACCCAGCTCCCGTTGGGCACCTCTGCATCGTCGGGGTTTCTGGGTGAGGAACCGGCTGAGCTGCTGGGTAACTGGAGGGGTTCCTGCCTGAGGCTCCTGGGACACAGACTGGAGAAGTGTCCTCCGCAGCTTCCTGGGAGGCATGATGAAGTACCTCTGGGGAGGCAGCTGCGGTGTACAGGCAGACACGGTCTTCACGGCATCAAAAGACCAGCAGGCCCTCCAGCTCCGAGCGCAGGGGCCAGGTTCACTGCTGCCGTCCACAGCACAGACGCCTCCTCGTTAGCATGGAAAGGAGGAAGGGCCACCAGTGCAGTTAGATGCCTAGAGTGAGAGTGTTCCCAAGGGCCAGGAAGTCCACTCACTGCAGCGGCCCAGGGGTTTCCTGCGACTCTTGTACTGTTTTGGTTTGTTGGTTGCTTTAAAAAAACAAAACAAAACTATGTGCAGGTTTTACTTTCCAATGAGAAAAGCCCACCTAGTGTACAAGAGTGTGGGCTTTGGGGCTGGGCCACCAGGGTGGGGGGCAGGACCCGGCGCCTCTAGCTCTCAGGCAGCCCACACGGACTTCTCTGGCCCCCATTTCCAGTTTCTAAAGTCATGAAGAGTGAGGGTGAGCTGTTCCTTCCTGGCCCATAAATAAGGTGTTGGAGGGGTACAGCCCACTGGCCAGGCGCCTTCTTGGGCAAAGGCAAGTGACGGTGTTGTCTTTTGCTCATAGCTTGAGAGGCTACGGAATAAGATCATCCAGGCCACCTTCAGCATCTCTGGGACCAAGTCCTTGGCCAACGAGATCTCTGACGATGACATCCTAGAAGCCCTGCAGGTATACCCCTGAGCTCAGCCACCTCCATCTGGGACCTGTCCCCCCAGGCAACCCCTGAACTCAGCCACCTCCATCCCAGCCCCATCCCCCCAGGTGACCCCTGAGCTTAGCTGCCTCCATCTGGGCCCTGTCCCCCCAGGCGAGCTGGGGTTGGGGGTGGGAGGGCCTGGGTTAGATTCAGGGGACTCTGTTCTCATCCTAGCTGTGTCATCTATTTACCTGGACCCCTGGACCCTCCTTTCTCTCTGCTCAGGCAGAGGGGGCCAGATCATTCCTAATGTGGGTGGGGGCATGGCATGGCCGTCTTAGCCACTCTCAGCAAAAAGAAAAGGAGGAGGGGCATCAGAGACCAGCTGTAACTGCCACAACCCATGAACGCTGTGGAGAGGGGACAAGCCACCTGGTCACAGAAATTCTGCAGCAGGAGCCCAGCCCCAGCTTTGTCCAACTCAGTCCCCTCTGCTGGTATCACCACCCACTGAGCTGGGACCCTGGTGCAGAATCCTCCCACCCTGGCCACAGCCTCCTGGGTCCTTCCTGACCAGTGGTCCCCAAGCAGGGGCCTCCGAGAAGTAGAGGGGTGTAGGAGAAATAACTTGGGCATTAGGGTCACTGGGCATGAGGGGGTCACCAGCCACCAGCTGTGGGCCACACACTCACTTCTCTGAGCCAGACACCTCCCTCTGTGACGAGGAGTCCATGCCCACCTGCGAGGTGCCATGGGACTCAGAGCTCCAGGAGTTGGGCACCGGCTGTAGCTCTGTGTGGGGCCATGTGCTATGTAGGGGTCACCTCTCACCAGGTGCTGCTTCTAGTCCCAAGAGCCACCCTTTCCTTCCTGGGGCTGCCCTTAAACCCCAGTGTATTCCCATGACCTTCCTTCCAGCATTCACGATCCTGGGGCTTGGTTCCCTTCCTCTGCAGTGTGGGTGGGCCCTGAGGAGCAGTAATGTGGCGGGAGGTCTCTGTGCCCTTGTTACTGTTGTCTGGGGGAGGGCAGAGAACGGGGAGGGAAAGAGGAAGAGAAGAGGAAAGACAGAGGATGGAGGGGATTACTCCCGCCACACCGGAGCCAGGAAGAGCATCTTTCTTTCTTTGCTTGCTATAGCCTGACATGAAACAGCAATGGCCCAGAAATGAGGAAATTGGAAGAGGGGTGGGGACAACCTTCCCTTTACACAGGATGGAAGAAGGGACTGGAGGGACAGATGTGATGACCTCAAAGGTCTCGAGGAGTCTGGGGCTCCTCACAGTTCTAAGAGGGCTGAAGAAGGGGACATAGCACAGGCTCCTGCGAGTGGGTGCTGTGCACCTGCTCCCGGCTCTGCGTTCTGTGACTTCACTTCTGTGGCTGAAAATCAGCCGCCGTGGGAGTATTGGGAGTATTCACACCACAGATATCAGCAATGCCACAAAGCTGAGGGTTTTTTGCTTTTTCCTCCCCTGGGGAGAGCCAGCTGTAAGTATTTACCAGCACACCCCAGCTGCAGGGAGCCCCTCTGGAGGAAGAGAGGGTGGCGTCCCTGGCAGCTGGCATGGACTGGGCAGACCGGCCTCAAGGCCAAGGTGAGGCACTGGGAAGGCCACCTCAATGGCTGTGTTTCTTGTGTAGAGAATTATCTCAGAGAGAAGCGACTACTATAATCAGCTGAAGCAGAAAGGTGTCAAAGTGCTCCCCCTGCAACAATCAGAGACCTTCCTGACCAGCAAATCCAAGAGGAGGCCCTCCAAGTAGCCCCAGCCAGGTGTCCAAAATGCGGTCAGCTCAGCAGAGGCCAGGGACCAGCTCCAGAACTACCTGCCCCCACCATGCGTCCTGTTCTCGGACTCAGAATTAAACCCTGGTGTTGGCACTGTCCCACCTTTTTCTTCTCTGGGATCCATGTGGGGTCCTACTCTCCTCTGCGACCTTAGGGTACAACAACGCCCCCATTCCAAAGCTCACTGACTGGGGATCAGCACACCAGCCTGTGCCACTAGCTCCTAGCAGGTCCCCTCTAGGCCCCAGGCTGCAGGAGGCCTGGGTCGGGGTGTCCGCGCAGCACTCAGCACAGGCCTAACGCCTACTGACCAGAGGGGGTGTGTGATCTCCAGCCCTGGGGGCTCTCCTGGCTGGGGCACTCTCTTGCTGGAGGACTCCTCTGAAAGATGGTGAGTGTCGGGGACTCTGTTCTCATCCCCCCCACCCCCGCTCCCGGAAGGAAAGCTTTACGGACAGGGACGGTGTCTGTGTTCCCCAACGCTTCCCCGACGCCTCGAAGGCTCTGGGCGCCTGAACTCCTGCGGAAGGAAGGACTCTCCCATAGCCCTTCTCTGCTCCCCACCCACACCTGCTTCCCTTCCCGCCGCGAACACCAAGCTTGGGCCACGTGCGGGCGCCACACCTCTCAAGCCATGGAGTAGGACGGTACCCACGGCCGGGTCCTCAGTCCCCAGGACTCAGACCCAGACGCGCCCAGAGCCTCTCAGTCTCCTCCGCGTTGCAGCCGGGTCCCCGCGGGGCTGGGGAGCTCCGGGCGTCGGAGGAGCTGCAGCAGGGGTGAAGGAGGTTGGAGACCCTGGAGGCCCCAAGGCGGGGCGTCTGAGGGCGGGGAGTGCAGCCCTCCGCCAGTGCCGCTCGGCCGCCAGCACCACCCTGCTGCGGTGATGTGCGGCCCTGCGTCTCCGGCCCCGGCCCGTTCCGGACTAGGCGTCTCCCGGCCACGGGCCCCGCCCTTCCCGATATGGCCCCGCCCCACCTCGGTTCCCCTCTCGCCCCGCCCCCAGCCCCTTCAGGACCAGGCTCCTCCCACTGCTGGCTCCAGCCCTTTCCCCGCACGGCCCCGCCTCCGCCTTCTTCCCGCCCCCGGCCCTCTGGACAAGGTACCGCCCGCTGCTGGCTCCAGCCCTTCCCTGTACAGCCCCGCCCTCGCCTCGCCTCACCCCGCCCCCGGCCCCTCTGGACAAGGCACCTCCCCGCCGCTGGCTCCAGCCCTTCCCCGTACGGCCCCGCCCCGCCCTCGCCCCTTGCCCAGTCCCGACCCCTGCGGAGCCGGAATACTCCGGGACGCAGGTGAGGCACGCGGGGTCCGGGCTGCAGCTTTCCGGTTCGGCCGCAGTAGGGAGGTGGGCCTGGGCGCGGCCTCGCTGGCTGAGAATTGGCGGGGGCTTGGGGTCGTGCCCTGGGCTGACCCCCCCCACCCCAGCCCAACCCGCAGAGCGGGGCCAGACCCGGAACTGCGTGCGCTGCTCTTGATGGCCGTTGGGGCACCCCCGATCCCGGCTACTTTCCCTTCCCGGCCCCTAGCAAGGCTGCTCCTCCGGTCATTTTTCTTATTTTTTTAGGCTCCAGGCATCTGCTGCACCTCAGCCCACGACCTGCCTCGCTGGAAGGTGCGGGCAAACTGGCCCTGGCCACTCCCTGAGGCCCCAGCCCTCAGGCAAGGTTCTCAGGTAAGTGTGGCGCCCTGAGGCGCTGTGGGGTGAAGAGGTCTGTGCGGGGACCGCTGTGTGCCTAGGACCTGATGGCTTTCTGCCGCCACACCTGTGACTGTCATGGAAGTGTGAACAGATGTTTACTAGCGAGTGAGGGAGGCCAGCCTCTACAGCCGTGTCTGGTGGCTTTGTCCACCCAGGTGACTTGGGAACCGCACATTCTATGTCAGTCAGCAAGACAGGAACCCACAATCCCAGGCCTGAACACGCTGGGCTTGACGCCTCCCACCGAGAGGCCGGTGGTGGGCTGCTGCTGTGAACTTGGAGACAGCGCTCCCGGGACTAATGCTGCCTGGATGTTGGGTTGCAAGGTGGCTGCTGCAGCTCCAGCCATCACATCCAGGCTGCGCTTCTTTTGACAGAACCAAAGGCTCTCCCATCCCTTGCTGCACCCTGGCTCTTGGCCCACAGCTGGATGACTTGGGAACACAGGGCTGGTGGTATTAAGCTTGTCTTACCCCAGTCATGGCTGTCACCTGGGTCTGGCACATTGCTGCTGGGACTAGACTGGGATTCTGCTCATCAGGCCAGAGAGTGTGAACCTTGGGTAGGCAGCTGACATATCCACAGGCTCCAGGAGAGCAAACTAACTCCAGTAGATTCAGTAGCCAGAGCTCCCACCGAAGGCAGACTTTATGGCTTTGACATGGCTTACTCTGTCTCCCTGGACTTTGGGGAAGGGCAGACAAGGAAATGCCAGGAGTCTCAGAAATGCCCGGGGCTTGAGTATCTGTGCTGGTTTCTTGCAGGGGAGTGGCCGCTGTGCCTTTAGGTCTCTGTGCCAATTACCTGGGAGGAGGGTCAGCCTTCCCTGATGGCAGGGGCCCAGCATAGCCTCAGCCCCTAGAAGTGAGGGGCCTGCCGCTGCCTGCCCAATGACCCTGCTCCTGGGGGCCAGATGCCCAGAGGGGACACTGGGGGCCCAACAGACTAGAGAGCTAACCCCAAATCCCACAGCCTGGATGGGTTCTCAACTTCTGGTGCCCCCTCCACCCCTGTGCCCCTTAGATAAACAGGAAGTCCTAACAGAAGCCAGAAGGTAAAGAGGTGCTCAGAGCTGGGGCTGGCACAGGCCTGCCAGGCAGCTGCTCTGGTGCGCAGAAATCGTGGTCTCCTTGCCTCTCTGGACACCTGGGCTGCCAGGCACTGAGCTGAGCGCCGAGATGCAAAGATGAGTCCCTGGCCTGCAGGAGCTGGGCCCCTCCTCCTCCGGGCAACCACCGAGCCCCATGACCATCCTCTCTGTAAGGCCTCCCCGAGGCCTTGAACCCACTCCAGGCCCATGCTCAGTGCATCCCCCAAGCCCCGGCCCTCCCAGAGGTGTGGGTGGTGAAGGAGCTGCAGCCCACACAGGCCAAGGACACAGCTGCTGCCTGAGTCGAGCCACGCATCCTTCCCAGACGGACCGGACTAGCTGTACCAGCCGCTGCCTCCGGCCTGCCGCCCTGCCCCACCCCCACTCCCATTGCCGGCCTTTCCAGAGGTCAGCAGGGGCCTTATCAGGCAGGGTTACAGAGGGGAACAATTATCAGGGGCTACAGCCTGGGTTGGGCCACAGTGTCCTCCTCTCTTGAGGGCGGCAGGCTGTGCAGGCTCCCTGATAAAAGCACCCGGGAAGAGAGGCCCCTGGAGTTCCCTGGAAGGAAACTCTGGCCTCCCACATTCCTGAGGTCAGAGCTTGGCCGCCTTTCAGCCTCCCTGGGTTGGAAATCCTGCTTGGTCCCATCCTCCCGGCATGACCCCGGGCAAGTGACTCAACCACTCTGCATAAGTCACCTGTTAAGTCAGGTGACAGAGCCAGTGAGGGAGCCAGCCCCCGACCCTTAGTGCCCCCGCTCCCCCGCCTAACCCCAGGCAGCCCCTCCCCCGGCAGCAGCCCCAGAGCAGGTCTTGGCTGCACCCTCCATCCGGCTGTGCTTTACAGTGAACTCACAGCCTGCCTCAGTCTCCCCACCGTGAAGGCCCCACCCCTCCCGCTGCAACCTGGCAACATGCAGCCGCAGGAGAGCCACGTTCACTACAGCAGGTGGGAGGACGGCAGCCGGGACGGAGTCAGCCTGGAGGCTGTGTCCAGCACAGAAGAGGCCTCATGCTGCCGCAGGTGAGGAGTCCGAGGGCAGCCTGCAGCCCCAGCAGGTTGGTCCCTCCTTCCAGAGACACCTGCCCTAACCCCTGCTGCCAGCCCCATCACCCTCCACCCTGTCCCAGCTGGGGGCCCACGGTCCAGCTGCTCAGCAGACCACAGCCCTGGGGCTTCCCTCTGGTTGGCTGTGGGTGGGGCGAGTGGCCTCTTAACTCCAGTAGAGTGCCCAGGCCTCTCCCCCTAACCCGGCCCAATGGCCACAGTCCACTTAGGGGGCCCCTCATGTGGCCCTGGCCTGGGGCTCACCTCCAGTTGGTTCTCACCCTAGGATCTCCCAGAAGCTGTGCTCGGGCAAGCTGGGCATCGCCATGAAGGTGCTGGGCGGTGTGGCCCTCTTCTGGATCATCTTCATCCTGGGCTACCTCACCGGCTACTACGTGCACAAGTGCAAATAAATGCTGCTCCATATGCTGCTCCCTGGGGCTGGCGGCACACGTGTGAGAGCACAGGCCTGCATACACTCTGTATACATGGACCCTGTGGCACACACAGTGCACACGGCACAGGCACTGGCACCCAGGCCCACAAAGACACCAGGTGTGCCGCTGTCACAGGCCCCACACAAGGGTGCACATGCATCTGGCACACGGTCCTTCAAAGAATCTACAAACAGCTGGGCACAAGCGGCTGGGAGACCTGGGCCCAGCCTCAGCGGGAGCTGTGGTACACACCTAGACCACAACCTGCAGCCCAGAGCCCCCAGCCACAGCCTCTCCTGGCCCAGGGCCCAGCCCCTTACTTGTCAAGGTCAGGATGAGGGTTTTCTTTGGCAGGCAAACTGCCCACCTCCCTAGTAGCCCCCTGGGGAGGACCCTTCCACTGCTTCCCTCCGAGGGCGCCCTGTGCAGAGCTGTGTGCCCTGGCCAGGCCCCCAGCTTCTCTGGGCCTGACTCCTGGTTTTGTAAGCCTGGCTCCAACAAGGGCTGTGTGTCCCCCACCCTTCCCTAGGGGACTAAGACCCAGCCCCAGGTTTTCTGTGCAGAGCAGGAAGCGGGCCCTGGCCCTTGTCCCAGATGCACCATGTCGTCCTTAGTAAAGTGGGCACAGTTCTTCCTCTTGGGGCTGGCGGTTGCCAGGGAGAACCCAGGTCTACCCTCCCTCCCTAGGGATGGGCCTGACCCCTCCAAGTGCTCCTTGTGGGTCAAGAGCCTGTGCACAGGGGCAGAAAGTGTCTTAAATAAACGGTGGGTGCCAGCCTTTGCTATAGTTGTCTGGGCAGGCGTGACATCCAGAAAGGCTATGGGAAGGGCTTGTCACCCTGTGGGCAGGCCGCTCCCATGTTGCTCTGGGAATGCATTCCTCCCAACAGGGTCTTCTGACAAGGACACTGGGTAGGCCTGGGGGCCACAATGTGGCTGGACCTCACCTGTGCCCCAGGGATTTCAGTCCCATTCCCTGCCCTGTCCAGGCCTCTGGCGCTAGCCCTCACCTACCACAAAAGACCCCAAAGACCCTTGCCAGAAACCTCCCCTTAGGAAATGGGTCCTTACCCCAGGGCTGGGGAGAGGGAAACACAGGCAGCCACTGTCCTCACGGGCACAGAGAAGGGAGGCCACAGGGCCAGATGAGGTTATCAGAAGGCTGAGGCCATGCCTGCCCCAGGCCAGAACCCACCAAATGCATCAAGTCAGGTAAATAGGAGGGGCTGGGCCAGTCTTGGTGGGAGGCAGACTCCACAGCATCCACCTTTGGGGTGAGCAGGTCCCCTCGAGGTCTGCAGGTGGAGCTGCATGGCGGACTGCACACTGCCCCAAGGCACCTGGCTCTAGACCCGAGAGAAGCCCAAGGGCCTGTCCTGGGTTGGGGTCTGAAGCAATGCTGCTTTCATGGGAGCCTGCTGAGGGGTGGGTTTCTGCCTGCCCCAGCCACAACAGGCTGCATCTCAGCAGGAGTCTCCAAAGAGATCCCTCCCTCTGAGCGGCCACTCCCGAGGCGGCAGGGGAGCCGCCAGCTGGTGCCCTCCCTAGAGCCTGGATACACAGGAGGACACTGCCCTGGGGCTACTGTAGGGGAGTGGCAGAGGCAGTTTGGCTGCATGGGCCCCAGAAGACAGCACTCTGATCTGGGGTCTGGGGCTGGGCCTCTCCAAGAACTGGTACAGCCCAGGAGCCAGGTGAGGGCACAGGATGGGGATGGGGGTTGCCCGAGTTCTACAGCAAAGGAGGGAAAGTGGCCCCAGTGCTTCTGCCGCTTTTCCCGCACCAGTGATGTCCATGCACCCCACAAATGCTCTCCCCACCTTTCAGGGGCCAGCAGCAGATGGCACAGGCAGATCTGGCTGGCTGCGACTGGGCCCGCCCTGGCAGGGGCCCAGCATCTTCAGTCAGAGGCTCTGCCAGCAGCCGTGCCTGCCCCAGCAGGGGAGGCTGCAGGCAGATACCCATGGGCGCTCATTGGACCAGGCACTCATTACGCACAGCTGCTTCTCGGGTGCACCACTTGTCCCCTAAGTGGCCATGGTGAAGACAGCAGCTCTGGTCCCAGGACCCCCAGGGTCATGGACCTGGGCTGAGCTAGGCAGTATCCTTACGGCTCTGGAGAGTTGGGAGAGAGGGTAAGACAGGACCCTGCCTCCCTGAGACTCATAAACAGGAGAATCTGCTGGGGGTGTGTCTGAGTGCGCACCTGGGAGGTCCAGGCAGCCCGAGACCTCTGGGCCACCTTGTGCTCCAGGGAGGGGCCCAGCAAGGTGGGGCTGGTTCCCAGGACCCCTGATCAAGGGCACTGGCTTCCCTGTGATAGCTGCAGGTGCCTCGTGCTCCCTGCTGGCAGGATCTGAGCAGGGACAGCAGGCCCTCAGCCTCCCCATGTGGAAGCCACACTGTGCTAGAGAACTTTGTGACACTTGGATCAGCAGCCTCTGGCAATGCCCGTGGGAAAGGATCTGCTGGGCCAGGAGTGGAGCTGGTTTTTATTCAGTGCTTTTTATTAGCGAGTGGGGGGTAGGGTTAAGCAAACATCAGAGACCTCCCCTGCAAGTTAAATACATTTCCAGCACCTCACGCATCACAATCCGAATCAGGAAAGGGCACAGCACGTGGCAGCCTCGTCCACATCCACCCAGTGACAGATGTACTACACAGTGTGGCCACCAAGTCCCTGGGAGCCAAGATGGCAGCTCCAGCATCTCTCCCTCCTGGGCTGGGCCATGCAGAGAAAGGACAGCCTCTGCCCAGCAGCCCAAAATCACCTCTCAGAGCCACTGTTTGGGACCCCCAGCCCAGAGCTCCAGCAGACTCCTGGCCTGGGGAAGACTTGAGCCGCCTCAGACTTCCAGTAGTGCAGGTCCAGGCCAACTGTGGCATCTGCCTTGACTGTCCAGAGCAGCAGGAAATTAGGTTTTGGGGGGACACAAGGCAAGGGGCCGTCTGACATGTCCAGCTGGCACTGAGTGTGGGCCTCATCCCCCCAGCCTGTCTGGAGTCCCCTCCCTCCCACAGTAGGCCAGACAGGAAGGCCTGGCAGTGACTAGACAAGTGGATCCGGTCTCAAGGCCACCTGGCCTGTGTCCTGCAAGCTCTGAAGAGCCACTCAGCTGTTTGTCTGCCCAGCACACAGGGCCCTGGGACTCTCTGGTTCTGATGAAAGAGGCTGTGGGGCTCTTGCAGATCCTCCCCCAAACTGCCAGTCATTTCTACAGACACAGAAACTGAGACACTGAACAGAAAAACGGTGTCATTCAGTAAAGCTGACGAGGCCGCTTCTCACATGGCAGCCAGACTGTAAGGCAGTAGGGTCCGTGAAAGATCGCAGTGGCTGGCCGGGTCCTCGTGACCCAAGCACACTGACTCCTGGGAGCAGTGTGCACGCACATGTGCCTGGACACACGTGAAGAGACACGGACATGGGGGTCTGACCTGGACATTCACAACAGAAACATCTACAAGAGAAGGCACCCAGGACCCACCCATCTGGTGCATAAACGAGGATTTCTGTCTCAAAAACCTAAGCGTCCTCCAGTTACTGCTATCGTCTGTCCCACAAAGCAATGCAACAGCATTATTAAGAGAAGCAGTTCTGCCAATTCTAAGGTCACATTAACACTTTCCCATAGATTGTGATCACTGCAAGCTGGAGAATCCAGTGTACTTGCATATCCCAAGCTGCACACCGGCATGACAGGGTTTAGCAGGCGCTGTTACAGCCAGTGATTGGGCTATTCAAGGAAATGCACGTCGGTCAGCTTCCCAAGTTTTCCAGGCTCCAGTTATAGTCATGAGTCACTTAGTGACACAAGCAACGTGTGCTCAGCTGCCGCTGCTATGCGATCAGACTTACGCCAGCCTTGATGGTGCATGTAGTTGGATTTGTATGAGTTTTTCATATGGAAAGCCAAGTGTCCCAGCAGCATGACTGAACATCAGTCACTTCCCCTACATGATCTACAAGGCCAATGTCAAGAACCACACACCACATTTCCAAACACACTCCACGAGAACATCGTGGGCCTGTCATGAAGTGCCCGTCCCTGACCCAAATGCTGTCACGTGGCGCAGGACTGTAGTGTCTTTTCTCTCAGAATCACCTGCCACATATCTACGTGATTCAGAACATTCCCAACAGTCAATTCTGACATTTGAATAATTCCATAAAAATATGTAAAATCAGGCCGGTCTTGTAACAACAATGTAGCATCACTTTACGACAGAATCATCTAGAAAAACAGAACAACGAATACATACATCTCTAAAAATGCTGAAGTGAAAATATAACGGATAATTCAGCATCGCCACATAGAAACCTCCGTGAAACAGACCAAATGAACGTGGACAGGCCAGACAGGGAGCCCTGGCATCAGCGCATGACAGTCACGTGGGCAGGGGCGGTGGCCAGGTCAGCCTTGGACGGGTACACCACCTTCAGGCTCCCCTCCAGGTCCACCACCCGGACCTGCTCCACCACCAGCGGGGAGGGTCCGTCCTTTGCAGCACTGGGACTCGTGCTGGGATCTGAAAGTTGTCCAGCGGCTGCATCAGCTTCGGTATCTGAGAGTGATCCTTCCTCTTTATTTTCCAAAGTGTTCTTGTTCATTTCTGCCATTTTCTACAAATGAAAAGTACCTTTTTAACCTGAAGATGAGAGGTGACCCAGGGAAGACATGCTGCTGTCAGCCAACGCGGTAAGCAAGAAAGGCAACCAGGACGGGTGGGCAGGCAAAGAGCAGAGCGCCGCCCCCACTGAGAAAGCTTCTCCAGAGGAGCCAGTGCGCACTCACCAGAATGAGGGCGTCCATGACATCCTTGCAGGTCTGCAGGCTGCTGGCACTTGTTACTTCCAAAAACAAATCCGAAGTCGTTTTCTTCACCTTAAAAGAAAGGATTTCAGAGATAGAGACCATCCTGGTCAACACAGGTGAAACCCTGTCTCTACTAAAAATACAAAAAATTAGCTGGGCATGGTGACGCGTG